TATTCAAAAACTCCCTATTGCATCGTTCTTCGTTTTGAGCATGATTACGAGGCCAGTAAACACTCTCAGGCTCGCTCTAGGAAATACGTCCTTCTATAGTTCTAAGCTATAATTATAGAACTATAGAACTTAGAACGAAGCTTTTCGTGAGCGGCGAACAAGTTCCTAGATCTAATCGACAACAAATTCTATTTCGAGCTTCTCGCTCAAAAATTGTTCGTAAATGCATAATATATTTTACTAAGGCTGCGGTGCGCGTCAAAGAACACCATAACCGGAAACAAACCACGCTGTTAGAGGTTCGAAAACTATGTTCACCCGACCCACGCGTACTTGCGAGATCCTCTTTGTCGTATATAAAAAAAAAAAAGTCGTAGGTGTCAGCGTGTTCGCCGTCATCTTTTTAAAGATTCAAAGCTCGGCAGCCAGTGAAAACTTGAATTACTATATATACCAACAATAGAAGCGTTGGTTCATATTGTGATGCTCTCTATCTAAATGACATAGGCGAACTTGCGCGCCGCACGGCTATAGATACCAGGCAGGCAGGAAGCAGGATGGAACAATTGCGGTAGCGGAAAGTGTTCTCAAAGGAAAACGGGAGAAACTTATGTGGATATAGATGACGTAATATATGTACAAGGACGGCGCTGCGAGCTGCACTGGCTGAGACGATAGAGCCATCTGTATTGGAAATAGAATTTTCTTTACCACTTCCAGTGCTCCTTCACAGTCCACCCAGTGCCAAATGGAGTAACCTTAGGCAAGAAGCCTTGCAACTTGCAATATTTCAAAGCGCTCTGCAACTATAATCGGTTTCGACCTATAAGAATAAACGTAAACTCCAGCTACAACCGTCCACTGTCCAATACAGAACAAGTTTACATAGGTGCTTCATGCAATTGCAATCACTTATTTACGTGATTTTAAGCACGACTCGCGTACTTTGAAGCAGGTGGCTTCCTCATGTAGCACACATTTTTTAATTGTCGCTAGTCCTCGGTCGAAACCTTGGACTTCCTGGCGAATTTCAGCAATGTACACGCCTTCACAATCAGCCAAACGCAACATTCCAACAACAACAACAAAAAAAACGAACTTTTAATTCATAGTGTGAGTAAAATTTACATTAGCAGCAAAATAAACAAATTGTTACGGTTATACAGAACTAATACCCCCAAACACGATTTTCTCACACAGATAATTGACAGGAGCGTATCTATAATGCGGGCGGAGCTTGTACTTAATAGGTTGTTTACCTCGTACACAATGCGAAACTGGAAATTCCGTCTATTTCTTCAGCACGAATGTGGAAGGGCACAATCGAAATGCCATTTTACGAGGAACGCAACGTGAACACGAGTGCGCAACCCTCCTGAAACTGCGACCGCAGCGTTATTGTGTTACCGTTATACTGTGTTACCGATTTCTCATCGATTACTGGAACGTCCACAGTTAAAGAATGTTCGACGAACTGCCAAGAGTGATGACTGATATTTCGAAGCAGAAAACGAGGCCTTCAGTTGAAGTAGACGCCTCTACATAGGTGCTCGCAAAGTGTCGACAATTTCGTCCACGTTGAGGAAGTCTTTTGGTGGAACGTATGGGCATCGACAAGCGTGTGAGACGCTCGAATATTTGTTCAGGGAGAATAACTTGAAGGAGAGTCGTTTTGCCGCAGCAATCGCAGCCTTTACTGAGGGCTGGCCGTAGTTTAATGGTAGCGCAAATACAGGTCTGGCCCTAGCGAAGTTATACATTGATTTGATCCATGTCGCGATGGGATACCGCGTGGCGCCATGCCAAATGCGGCCCTAAAATGCGGACTGAATACTCGAGTAGCACAAGAAGCCTCTTGTATTACTGAGGCGAAAAAGACCGTCGGAGTCAGCACGAATTGTTGAAGTATATCAAACTAGGCAAAAAGCAACCAGCGCGCCTCATGGCTGTCAGCGTCACACAAAACGGCTAACGTCCATTAAAGACGTACAAAGAAAAAATAGGTGCAGTTGCGAGTAAAGAAATAATTTGAAGTAATTAAGAAGTAAAAGAAGCAATTCCAAGTAATCAAGCAAATGAGAAAAAAAAAGTAACTCCAAGCAATAAAGAGTAATTCAAAGTGACTATGGGAAATGATTTCGAAATAGCGCAGAAGATAAAACAATGCAGACGTGCTGGAATTTCGCTGCCAAGTCGAGGTGAATGTTTGCAGCAAGTGTTATCTATATATAGCCTCCGTGCAAGGTCAATCGTGCAGCGACAAAGTTCGCGTCTTCCATAAGGCGTGTGGCAGCTTGGGCTAGTTGGTATGACATGACGATAGCTATAGCGCGAGAACAAAACGACGACACAGAGACAAGAAGGACACGAAAGACACGAGGGCGTCGCGCGTGTATACGCGTGCGAAAAAGCTATAGCAGTTCCCGCACAATCCCCACTGCACGCAATTTACAAAGCACGACTGACACGGAGACGAAAGCCAAAGCAGCGCTTTTTCTGCCGTCGTGTTGCTTTTTGGCCACCTGTTGGAATTGCACGGTGTGATTTTATAGCTGTACTGAACGTGATGTGGGCGTACATTTAGCGACGCGGAGCCTGGAGAGGCGACGTAAGGCCGTCTACGTCATCGGCGATTGACAGAGGCCATCCTTCTGTTCGCATATACAGGCAATGGCGAGACGATTTCCAGTAAGTTTATTGGAATACGCAAGACGCGTAGCCACAACATTGCCTAACCTATTTTCGCCTGATCGCGCACGTTGGAGAACGTTTAAAGGCGTTTGCGCTGTTATAGGATAGCTTGCGACATCAGCTGAGGCAGTGTAGCAAGTGACTGGCTGCATGCTTGCATATAGCGCACTAACGTATGGTAATGCAGTAGGACTTGTTCCTAGGCTAGATGGTGCTTGTTCTAATTCACAGTGTAACACACACACATACACACACACACACAACACACACACACACATACACACACACACACAACACACACACACACACACACACACACACACACACACACACACACACACACACACACACACACACACACACACGACGGAGACTCAGAACCACACACCACAAGCGCTTGTGGTGTGTGGTTCCGTGTGTCCATTGGGTTATTTTCGAGCTACATTGGGCCAGAGCGAATTGCAGCTCAGGTAGACCTCTCTATCTTCCTGTAAACAAATAAGCCTGGTCCAAATAAAGTTCATTTCTCTCTGTGTGTGTACATTATGAATTTCTGTTAATGCTTGGAGCTGTGCTAGTTGGTGTACATATATGTATGCTTATTTACTGGGTTATAAAGACGCGTGAACACCGTGCTAGTGTTGACGACACGGTTGATGTGACGTAGCCACTCGCCTCTTTTTTTTTTTTTTTTCCTCGCAAAGAGCTTTTTTCGTATGCCTACTCCCACAAAAAAAAACTTTGACGCGCAAATACGTAACGTCGGGGTTTGGAGTGCAACTGTGCATTGTTGAGGGAGGCACAGAAAATGAATTGGGCGTTCTTACGTTCAAAATTCTGACGTGAATAATATGCCTGCATGGATTGTTTCCGCAGTTCACTGCACTTCTAAGAGAAAATGCAGCTGATAATTGGAGATGCTGATGTATGCAGACCGGGAGGAGTGGAACAACCAGAGGATAAGTTCTGGGCAGAGGGGGGATTTTTTTTTTTTTTTGCGGTAACACATGCAACTGTTAAAACCGATGCTGATTAAGTCAAACGTTGTAGAACAGCGCGATAGCAGGCTTGCGCAGGAAACATGGAATAAAGAGCAAAACTTCGGTCATTGGATATACATACATACAACTGGGCTTGTGGAGGGGCGGAAGATGCTTTCAAGTATAAAGCCGAGAATATATTTCTCGTTGAAACCATACGCGGTTGACTCGTAATAGATCTCGCTTATGCACTATGCCAACGCGAGTACCAGCAGAACGTAACGGCGGTATAGCAAAACGGCTTTGGAGCTACGGATGGCTTGAAGTGACGTCAGTGAAACAACCAAGTTAAGGCACAACATGGTAGGACGCAAAAATTTGTGACATCGCGTCAGTGCTATCGTTACTTGTATTCCAAGTAATTTGTTGCTGAAGCACAGCTGTCAAATAACAATGTGGCCCCCATCGTCATCATACCGAAGCAGGCTAAGGGTGATGCGATTATGCCGTTTTTACGCCATCAATGCCGCCATGTGGGTCAACCAATACGTTACGAAGCTGCGTCCATTACGTCACGTACAAGCCATTAATTCCGTTACTATAGAGGCAGCATCATTCGAACGCTGTAACTCTTTCCTGTTTTGTCCTCGCGGTTGCGTTGCTCGGCTGCTGACGAGAAGGTCGCGGGTTCGATGCCCACCGCAGCAGTCGCATTTCGACGGGGGAGAAACGCTATAGGTCCGTGTACTGGTGTGATGTCAGCGCACGTAAAGAATACTAGATGGTCAAAATTTCCGGAGTTCTCTGCTACCGGCGTGCCACATGTCATGGTTTCGGCACGTAAACTTCTTTTGCGGAAAAATAACGCGTATAATTCAATTTTTGGTTCTTCCGAAGTGGTCCTTATAGTGTACCGAGATACATAATCGGCACTGATCAGATACGCGGTCGATGTGTGAACATTTTCCGTCTTGAGCGCAGTTGCGGCAGCCTGACAGTAGTGTTCCACAAGCGTTTGAAATAACCTAGCCATCGAAGAGGCGCAGCCGATTTACAGTCTGAAAACCCACGCGTTATTATTCTTCGATCTGGCTACGCCGTGTAGTCGACGTTTGACACACAGTAAGTGCCCCGTACTAATGTTCATAAGTGAGCGGCGAAACCAATTACACTCGCACAATAATTCCGGCAGCTTCATGCCCACACGTAAGATGTTTCACCGTTGTGCACGATTTCGACGGACCATGATGAACCACCAGGATCCTTTAGGCCGAGAGATATTTGCCGCCTCGCTTCACGAAGAATCACCTCGGCTGGACGAGTACTCACCTGCGGTGAATCGACGAACCTTCGGAACTCCCGCCGCCCGAGCGACCACAGGCGTTGCCCAAGCGTGGAGCGTCGTTCGCGCGCTCGACACCACTTCCAGTGCCAGCATGCTGGACGCGACGATATTATGCACTCCCTTCCTGGGCACACGCACGCACAGCACACTAGCGAAGACGCCAAATGTTTGAAACCGCCGCGTTCCACACTCGCAAAGAGCACGGCTTCCGCGGTTCTCGTAGAGCGGTGCAGATCGCAGATAGCTGGGCAGCAGTTGGCGCGAGACGGTCACGCGAGCTACCACGCTGTGACGTTTGGCGTCGCCGCCGCTGCTGGGGCCCGTCTCCCACAACGTGAGCGAAGAAAGATGGACCACCCTACGGTGGCCTGCTCCCCTCGCGTGCAGAGAAAAGAAGGCGAAGCCGTGCTGAACCAGAGTGAGCTAGCCGCTCACGAGAGACGTCCACGGCGGGCGCCGGGCGGCAGCAGACGACAACGCCCCGACGCCCCTTGCCCTCCTTTCTACGAAATGACTGCTGTCGAGAGCCGCCGCCGAGGGGCGCCGCTAACAAAGAACAAATAATGGCGCTCGATTTGAAATTTGCTAAGGCACGTTGCCGGGCTAGTTGGTTGAGATTCATCATTTTCACTGGTATAGCGCACCACGACAAGGACACACACAAAGGAGAGATGCACACACACACAGCGCTAGGCTTGACGTGACATTATCCAGGTTTTTATCGGTCTACTGTTGCATAAACAGCGTGTGTGATCGCAAATAAAACATTAGTTGCAAGTTAGCGCTGTGTGTGTGTGTGCATCTCTCCTTTGTGTGTGTCCTTGTCGTGGTGCGCTATACCAGTGAAAATGATCGATTTGAAAACTACAACAGCCTCACAAGGATTATACACGGCCTCCGAGTTTGTATGGCGTTACAGATGGTTGCAGCGACTGCTGCTTCGATCTGAGCTCAGCATATTACAAGCCTTCCAGGCTGTATTCAGTTTCGATTTCAGCATAGTTAGGTTAATCACTGTTTCCACAGCCCTTGATGTGATCACTAAAGGCGGATCCTGGAGCTTGGCGGCATAAAAGTGTGGCTGGCCGATAACGTGGAAATTAAGGGAACGTGGATTCTTGAAGTGGTTAATAATTCTTAAAACATGGCGTGTCGCTAGGCTGCAGCGGCAGCCGGAGTTCTAAGAATTTTTCACGGCAGGCGGAATCAGGGCTGCCGTTGGTGACTACCTTGTACTACATTTGGCTACATTTGGGCGTTGCCTCGTACACACACACACACACACACACACACACACACACACACACACACACGAGTCTTCTTCACCGACTGAGTCATACCCCCTGCCTTTCTGAGTAGCACTCATCTTCTTCACTACAATATATATATATATATATATATATATATATATATATATATATATATATATATATATATATATATATATATAAATATATATATATATATATAAGGAAAGAAGTGTGTACTTAAGGGCTCGTTTTTCCGTGTTTTACACAATATTACTGAGATATAACAGACAATAATGCCAAGGAAAGTATAGGGGAAGATATTGGACCAAATTGTAATGTAACAAAGAAGAAAAGTGGGTGAAAAGATAACTTGCCGTGGGCAGGATCCGAACCTGCAACCTTCGCATGACTGAGATCTCAGTAATATTGTGTAAAACACGGAAAAACGAGCCCTTAAGTATACACTTCTTTCCTTAATTCATTAACGAGGGTCTCGTACTGGCAGACTTAGTGCCCTTAGGTTGTATACGAGGGACTACTGGTCGGCTGCCCACTCGTAATAAGTTCACGTGCTACGTGACGCCAAACAGGCTCAAAAGAGTGTGCCACACTCGCCGCGAAGGCTACTGGTGGCGCTGACTGACACTTCCATGTCAAATTCAGATATAAACCCAATAGAGTGGCTGAGGGGATGGCTGTCGTGGTAGCTCAAGTGGTAGAGCATCGAACGCGTCACTCGAAGGTTGCAGGTTGGGATCCTGCCCACGGCAAGTTCTTTTCACCCACTTTTCTTCTTTGTTACATTACGATTCGGTCCAATATCTTCCCCTATACTTTCCTTGGCATTATTGTCTGTTAGATCTCAGTAATATATATATATATATATATATATATATATATATATATATATATATATATATATCTTGCGTATCAGTTTCTGACTTGAAGAAGGAACGACAGAAACTGATACGCAAGAAGCCAATCAATCAGCTAGCACTGAGAGGGAAAGTACAGGAATTCAGAGTGTCGCTGCAGAACAGGTACTCGGCTCTTAGTGAGGAAACCAACCTTAGCGTAGATACAATAAATGATAATCTGACGAGTATCATTACGGAGTGTGCAGTGGAAGTTGGAGGCAGGGTAGTTAGAGAGGACACTGGCAAGCTTTCCCAGGAAACGAAGAACCTAATTAAGAAGCGTCAAATCATGAAAGTGTCAAGTACAACAGACAAAATAGAACTGGCAGAGCTTTCGAAGTTGATTAATAGGCGTAAGGTATGCGATGTAAGACGGTATAACATGGAGAGAATTGAACACGCTCTGAAAAGCGGAGGAAGTGTCAAAGCATTGAAGAGGAAACTTGGGATAGGCAAAAGTCGGATGTATGAACTAAGGGACAAACAAGGCAAAATAACTCCCAATATGGATAGGATAGTTAAAATAGCGGAGGAGTTTTACAGGGATCTGTACAGCAGCCGAGACAACCACGACCTTAATACTATAAGAACTAGCAGTAACCCAGATTAGACCCCACCAGTAATGATAGAAGAAGTCAGAAAAGCTTTGGAGAGCATGCAAAGGGGCAAAGCTGCTGGTGAGGATCAGGTAACATCAGATCTGCTGAAAGATGGAGGAAAGATTGTGTTAGAAAAACTAGCCAACCTGTTTACGAGGTGTCTCCTGACGGGAAGAGTACCAGAGTCTTGGAAGAACGCTAACATCATCTTAATACATAAGAAAGGAGATGACAAGGACTTGAAGAATTACAGGCCGATCAGCTTGCTCTCTGTAGTATACAAGCTATTTACAAAGGTAATTGCTAACAGAGTAAAGAAAAAATTAGAATTCAATCAACCAAAGGAACAAGCAGGATTTCGAACAGGCTACTCAACGATTGACCACATTCATACTATCAATCAGGTAATAGAGAAATGCTCAGAGTATAACCAACCACTATACATAGCCTTCATAGATTACGAGAAGGCGTTTGATCCAGTAGAAATATCAGCTGTCATGCAAACACTGCGGAATCAGGGCGTAGATGAAGTATATATAAACATTCTGGAAGAAATCTACAGGGGATCAACTGCTACCATAGTGCTTCATAGAGAAAGCAACAGAATTCCAATCAAGAAGAGTGTAAGGCAGGGAGACACAATTTCCCCAATGCTATTTACCGCGTGCTTACAGGAGGTTTTCAGAAGCCTAGAATGGGAACAGTTAGGGATAAGAGTCAATGGAGAATACCTTAGTAACCTGCGCTTCGCCGATGACATTGCATTGCTGAGTAACTCGGGGGACGAATTGCAACTCATGATTACGGAGTTAGATAAGGAGAGCAGAAAAGTGGGTCTTCAAATTAATCTGCAGAAAACGAAAGTAATGTACAACAACCTCGGCAAAGAGCAGCGCTTCGAGATAGGTAATAGTGCACTTGAAGTTGTAAAAGACTATGTCTACTTAGGGCAGGTAATAACCGCAGAGCCGAACCACGAGATTGAAGTAACTAGAAGAATAAGAATGGGGTGAAGCACATTCGGCAAGCACTCTCAAATTATGACAGGTAGATTGCCACTATCCCTCAAGAGGAAGGTATATCACAGCTGTATCTTGCCGGTACTTAGCTACGGAGCAGAAACCTGGAGACTTACAAAGAGGGTTCAGCTTAAATTGAGGACGACGCAGCGAGCAATGGAAAGAAAAATGGTAGGTGTAACCTTAAGAGACAAGAAGAGAGCAGAGTGGATTAGGGAACAAACGGGGGTTAAGGATATCATAGCTGAAATCAAGAAGAAGAAATGGACATGGGCAGTGCATGTAGCGCGTAGACAGGATAACCGCTGGTCATTAAGGGTAACTGACTGGTTTCCCAGAGAAGGGAAGCGGGTTAGGGGGAGACAGAAGGTAAGGTGGGCAGATGAGATTAAGAAGTTTGCGGGTATAAATTGGAAGCAGCAAGCACAGGACCGGGTTAACTGGCGGAACATGGGAGAGGCCTTTGTCCTGCAGTGGACGTAGTCAGGCTGATAATGATGATGATATATACATATATAAGAATAACTTCGGTTGCAGCAAGGTTATAAATATGAAAGTAGATACGCTTTCACATAACAACCGTTTATTGTGCCGACGTTTCGACGGGAGTCCCATCTTTTTCAAGGCACCCGTCGAAACGTCGGCAGAATGAACAGTTATGTGAAAGCGCACCTACTTTCACACACAGACACACACACACACACAATATATATATATATATATATAAATATATATATATATATATATATATATATATATATATATATATTCATTTATTTGGCTGGCGACATGACTACTTTCTGGCGGCTCTGAGCATATATTTGGGTGCATTTACTAGCCTTTTTTTTTCCTATGAATTGGAGACAAAATAGCAAGGAAGCCTAAAGAATGACCATCCCTGTTTCCACAAGTTTTCTGTCATGTTGGCCAATCGGGACATCTTCCCCACGCCAGCGGGCTAGCACGCATCGAGGCACCAAACCAGCTGCGCACATGCAAAGACGGAGTGACGCGCTCGTGCAAAGAAACGCCTGGCTATGGTGCACCGCTGACGCCAGATTTTAAGGCTGAAGCACAGCGCGTAAGAGAGATTTCCCACACAAAAGGAAGTTGGACTTTCGGAACTTGAAGCCGGACTGTTATTACGACAACTGAGTATCACTTGCGGACTATAGGCTTCAAAAGGAAACATCACCAGCGTATAATGTTAACTCTTACTGAGTTGTCAGTCAAAAATTACATTAAAAATTTGATCTATTCTAGACAAATTTGTTTGCAACTTACCTGTAGCTTGAAGACCAAGCAAGAATGGAAAATATTGTGCTCTTTGTTCTCGCTTTTTGCTTACTCAAGATAATCTTACTTATTGCAGAATAACAATTATCTATTTATAATATCGTCCTTTTTAGCTACAAATAGGGGACTAATATTAAATAGATTGGCTAATTTGGTTACATTCAGCTTGTATTCTGGCACCTTTTTAAATCA